CGGGAGGCACACGTGTATGCGGCGCTGAGGCCCTGCCCTGCACAGAGCCTGGCCCTATGCACCACGGCATGTGGGAAGGCGGGGGCCACAGGAGGGGCCGTGGAGACCCCCTTCTGCCTGGTGCAGAACTCTGGAAACGCTGAGTCACGGAGAAGGAGGTGCTGGGCCTCAGGGCTGACTCTGGGTGGCCTGCTCACCCCTCCTGGGGAAAGTAGCCCCATCCCCGACCCCTCGGCACCTTTCTTCAGCCTCTGGACCTGCAGCTGCACAGCAGACACCTGGGCCGTCTTTGGTTTAAGCACTGCGCTTTAGCTGGGCACAGTCGCATGGCTGCTGAGCTCCCCATCTGTGGGGCCACGCTGCAGACCTCGCGGTGCTCCAGGCGAGCACCCCCGGAGTGTGCTGTCCACAGAGCGGGGCAGACAGCACATGGCCCCTCCTCACACCATCTCGGTCCCCCTGAGCCTCGATGATGCCAATGGTTCCCAAGCCGGACAGATGTGCCTTTCTTAGCAACATGCTAGAAAGCTGCACGGAAGGCAATTTGGGGACGGCAGATGTTCCTGTGAAATCCCTTAAGCTGCCCGTCCAGGGCCGTGCCGGGGGCTTTCCATGTACCTCGAGTGATACCCTTGTGCTGTGTGGTCACACACACCATCAGGGCCGCTGTGAGGCTGCCACAGCCACACACGATGGGACGGGAGCACCTGTCACAGGATCCATAAAATACCCACACCCGCTGAGCCACTCTTTCCCTCTCCCCCCTCATGTTACGGCACTCAACAGGCGTCGGGAGACATAGCTACGAGTGCCAGGCCCTGTGCTGACGCTCTGATACACCAATGGCTCCACCCAGAGATGACAGACATTCTACAGATGAGGAATGGAAGGGCTTGGGGACCACAGGGCCAGACCTGCAGCGGCGTGTGAGGGAGGGAGAGGAGGGGAGGGCCGCAGTGCCTGGCCGACCCTGCCCCAGAGCTGCAGGCGCAGAGACGTCTTTTTCCACATGCGCGGCCTCCCCCACCCCCCAAACACACGGGTGAGAAAAGCTTCAGCTGGTGAACGAGTGGCAGAGCTCTGACAGGCAGCCTCCCTCGGGCACAGACGGTGCCCCATGGTGGAGACCCAGAAACCCCTCCCTGCTGCTCCTGGGAAATCCTCACTGGCGGGAGTGCCCCAAATGTTCTGATTAACAAACCAGACAGACGGCTTCGTGTCCTTAAGAAAAACTATCAGGGGCTGGCTGGTGAGCTCAATTGGTTAGAGAATGGTGCTGATAACACCGAGGTCAAGGGCTTGGATCCCTATATCAGCCAGCCCCTAGAAAACAAAACCAAAACCATCAGAAATCCTTCTGTCTGGTCTGCTTGGCCACCAGCCCCAAACCAGGGGGCAGCTCAAGGTACTCTAGTCATGACGCGTGGAGTCAGATTTCGGTCTTTGGGCTTTTTCCACCTGCTGAGCCAACACCTCTCTCAGAGCCTCCCTGCTCACTAATCAGAGGGCCGTGTCTGGGCGACAGAAGGACTCGGCTTACATAAGACCCAACGAAGCAGGGGCAGAGACAGGGATTGTCCCTGTGGCTCTGCTTTTGTAAACACACCCTCTCTTGTTTTAAGAAAAGACATCCCCAAAGTTGTATCTTCTAGATTCTATTGGCTCAGGTGAAACAGGAGAGTCTCAGCTCCACCCACTCAAGGCCGCAGCCTCACCTGGGGATAGGGGAGGCGTCGGGTGAGGCCGCCACTCCAGCCCTGAACCTACTTGATTTTCTTCTCCGTGAGCTGCTCCAGGGTGGAGTGGCAGTCATCCATCTCTTTCACAAACTCTAGGTTCCTCTTCTCGGCTTGCTCCAGGTCCTGCCTGGCCTTGTCTCGCTCTCTCACCAGCTGCTCCAGGTGGCCCCTGCCCCAGGAAGGAGACAGAGTCACACGGGATGCCAACAGCAGCCTGACCTGCCAAGCTGGGCCTCTTGGGAGCCCACGAGCCCCATGTCTGCATGAACGATGGAGACAGCCGCGTTGCCATGTTAACGCACTGCCACCACCAACTAAGGCGGTTTCTACAATCACTGTGCCCATCTTACAGGTATGTGTATTGGGACGGGGGGG